GTAATTGCAATGAAAATAGCTCTATAAATATCATTCTGAATTTCAGGGGCAATTAATTTCAAATTATCTTGAAAATCTAAACCTTGTCTTAGTAAGAACTTCATATAATCAATAGAAGAATTTAAGCGGACATGATATGCATTTGTTACTCAATCTAACTGCACCTGAAAAACAAAGTTAATATGTTGATTTTGTTTCATTAAATCCTCATAATTTTTCCTTGCATTATTATGAGCACTGTTAGGTCCTCCTATATAAAGATCAAATCCATGAAGTTTATTTCAATTCGAGAATTTCATTCTTGTGAAATGTCTCATCCTCTTTTATCCTTTTCCTTCAACTCCAAAAAGATAAAAATACAAACAACACGCTTTATACTTCTGAATATTATACTCTAATCAATTGGAGTATCTATCAAACCACCTCGAATTGAAACGTCTATCTTTCATCCCAAGCTTTTAGGGAAGTCATGATTAAGAGACTGACATGGTTCTTTTTGCAAATATGATATTTAAATTTGATAATTAGTCTTCAATCATGTACGATTTTTGTTGAAATATTTAATATTAGATTGGACGGGTGTCTTGAAGAAATAAAAAAGGCTCATGTAACTTCTACATCCAGTTACTCCAATCTTAACAATAATGGAGTTAGAAAATTTTCATAGATGGGGCATTTATTTAAGAATCACCTCAACTTTTTTCATCAGGAATTGGGACTGGCGTTAACTTTTTTCATCAGGAATTGGGACTGGCCTTTCAATCAAATCCTGGATTACGTATACCTATTTCTGAATTTAGTTTTAACATTCGTGATCAAATTCGAATATCATATTTGCAAAAAGGATCATGTCAGCCTCTCAATCATGATTTTCCTAAAAGTAATTTTGGGATGAAATATAGACGTTTCAATCCGAGGTGATTTGATAGATAGTCCAGTTAATCAGAGTATAGTATTCAGAAGGATAAAGCATATTATTTGTATTGTTATCTTTTTGGAGTTGAAGGAAGAGGAAAAGAAGATGAGATATTTCGCAAGAATGGATTCTCGAATTGGAAAAAACTTGATAAATTTGATCGTCATATAGGATGACCTAATAGTGCTCATAATAATGCAAGACCAAATTGTGAGGATTTAATGAAACAAGATAAACATATTAACTTTGCCTTTTAGGTTTAGTCAGATCGAGCAATAAATGCATATCATGACCGCTTAAATTCTTCTATTGATTGTGTGAAGTTCGTACTAAGATAATGTTTAGCTTTTCGAGGGCATAATGAGAGTTACAGCCCAAAAGATCAAGGAAATTTTTTTGAGCTACTTGAATCTTTAGCTAAACATAATGAAGATATAAGTAATCTTGTACTAAAGAATGCTCCAGATAATTTGAAATTAACTGCTCCTGAAATTTAGAAGGATATTTGTATAGTTATTTCCATTGCAATTACAAACTGCATAAAGAAAGAAGTTAGTGATAGCTACTTCTCTAATCTTATTGATGAAGCTTGTGATATATCAGAGAAATAACAAATAAGTATTGATATACAATATGTGAATAAAAAATGTCAAATTATTAAAAAAAAAATTTAGTATTTTTCATATTCCTGAAACGTCAGCTAAATATCTCAAAAAAGGAGTTGAATAAATAAGTTCTTTCAAATTATTGTTTGTCTTCCTCTAAAAGTTGTGATCAAGGGTATGATGGTGCAAGCAATATGCGAGAAAAATTTAATGGGCTTAAAGCACTTTTCCTAAATGATAATGCGTCTGCATATTATATTTATTGTTTCTCACACCAGCTTCTGTTAGCTTTAATAGCAGTTGCGAAGAATCATGTTCAGATTGCATTATTGTTTACTATAATTACGAACGTTATGAATATTGTTGGTGTTTCATGTAAATATTGTAATCAGCTAAGAGACATGCAACACGAGCTAACATTAACTGCATTACAGAATAGTGAGGAATTCACTAGACAAGGATTAAATCAAGAAATATCTTTAAGGCGTGTTAGTGAAACAAGATGAGGTTCTCATTATGAGTCACTAATTAGTTTGATTACAATATTTTTTTCAGTTATTAATATGCTTGAAATAGTTTTGAAGGATAACATAAGTTTTGAACAGACAGGAAAGGCTTTTGAATTATTAGATTTAATGCAATCTTTTGACTTCTCTTTTTGTCTGCACTTAACAAAAGACAATTGGGAATCTCTGCTGAGTTATTAAAAGATTTGCAAAAAAAATAGATCAGGATATTGTGAATATCATGTTATTAGTTCGAATATCAAAAATTAGATTACAAGACATGAGAGACAACAAGTTGGATGAATTCATTGAAAAAATGATTTTCTTTTGCGTTGAACACAAAATTATCACTCTCAATTTAAATAATAAATGGGTTCCCTGTGGAAGACATCGATGTGGATTTCAAGAAATGACAAATTTACATCATTACTGAGTTGAATATTCTACATAGTACTTGATATGCAACTTCAAGAGTTGAATAATATTTTCACAGAGGCTAATACTCAAATACTTTTGTGTATTGCTTGTTTGAATCCATCAAATTCGTTCTACGTATTCAATAAAGAGAAGTTAATTGAAATGACAAACTTATATTCAAGCGATTTAACTTCTCCGGAATTGCTTATTCTTGATAATAAGCTGGAAACTTATATTATGGATTTGCGGTTTGATGTTCAATTTTTATTGTTAAAAAATATAGGAAGTCTTGCTGAAAAAATGGTTTAGAGCAGGAATGAAATATTATACCCCCTTGTTTTTAGGCTATTGAAGCTGACATTAGTACTACATGTTGCAATAATAAGAGTTGAAAGAACTTTTTCTGTAATGACTATCATCAAAAATCAACTATGCAATCAACTTGGAGATTAGTGAATGAACGATATGTTAATCGCTTATATTGAAAAAGAAATTTTAGATTGTATTGATAATTATGTTATCATTCAGTTTTTTCAAGATATGAAGAATAAACGGTATAAGTTGTAAGTGAATTTCATCTTATATTTAGTAGTTTATTTGTAATAAAATTTTTTTAAAACGGCCAATGCCAGTCCCAAGTTCGGATGAAAAAAGTTAGAGGGGATTTAAAAAAAAAAAAAGTGCCCCCTCTAAAAATTTTCTGGCTCCGCCATTGCATTGATACCTCCACTGGTTTCTTATGATGACTATTTGCCACTTCCATAAGTGCTAAACTATATCTTTCTTTTTTTGAGTACACTTAGAGAGATGCATGAGCTAATGTTGACACCAACGTAATGGTCGGTGCTTGCTTTTTCTTCCAGGAAGAGTGATGTAGAATCATTACAATAAAATGTATCTTAGTCGTCAATTCTTCTCCAATTTCATCTTTGCCATGCACCCATTTAATTTTGCATATATTTTAATTATATGATAAAGACACTCTTTGTCAATTTGATTTTAAGTATATTTAGTAAGTATTAAGGACCATACTCTACATGCTGGGTACTTTATGGTTGCATGAAGTAGAATGAACGAACTTAAAATATTGAGATTTTCCCTATTATATCTCATCATCTCTTCTATCTCTTATTTTTCATTCGTCCTCTCTTTCCCTCTTTGGATCTCTTCTATCAGCACCTTTTCTCTTTTCTATCTTCTATTGTGCTACAAGATATTATTAAGGCCTTTATTAGTTAATTGAATTAACACAAGGTAAGTGATTATATAATTTGAGAAACAGTGTGGCTATTTCTAATGTGTGTATCTCAATTTCTTGATGTTTGGAGATCAAGATTTTTCTCTCCTTGTACAACTGTGGCATGATGGTCTTTGCAATACCAAATTTTCTCTACTTTAACAACTGACACAGGGTTGGGCATTTTCATCCCAGGCAATCTAATGTATAAAATTTACTTCTTTGAGTGATCCAAAATATTCTAACAGAGGGACTATTTTGGATCATGTTTGAAGTATCAAATAACCTTGTTAAATACATTAAATAGCTGTGATTAAAATTGTCTCATATGAATAATCAAGGGATCATTTTAATCATTTTCTTACCAAATACTAGTTCGTTATATTATTTTTTCTCACTTCTAATCCCTCATGTGAACTCTGTATCAAAGGTGATCCAAAATGCAACTATAATAGCCATTTATAGTATAGGAGGATATTGTAATCTTGCTCTAGCAAGCAGAATTTCTATTAACTTTAGACACGTACGTTAATTCACTAAATATCTGGATCAACATAGTTGTGTTCATCAACGCTGAAATACTTGACTAATTTTTACCTGATTTGTTCATGTTTACAAAGATTGGTTTTTTCTTCTGCTATTTAATCTGTTCTACACTCGCAATTGTCTGAAGGAAAGTCAAGCTCCAGTTTTGTATGTGTTTTCGTATCTAATAATTTTAAGTGAGCATCGAAGTTTTGTTCATATTAATGTATGTTGGCTATCTAAAGAATGGAATTACTGATAAACTGTAGATTTCTGGCCATTTTTAAAAGGTTTAGTTCAATAATCATGGTCCCTTTAAAAAGAACTATCAGTTGGTTGTTGAGCTCCAAGTTTAGGCTTGAAATCGATACTTAGATACTTAGCTCAGCGCACCTGACTCAAATGGTTTCTAGGTTGTAGAACATGTTGCACTGCTAACATTGCTTAAGTCTTCAATTCACATTTTAGATCCAAAGTCAAGATTTGTAGGAAACTCATATATACAATCACAATCAGAACACCAAGTTTTATGCATGTATAAATTTTAGTTGAAATTTTATTTATCTATTTAGTTATTTATTCAAGCATTTGAGTGAATTCTTTTTTGGTCAAAATTTTCTTATTCATTATGGCGCTTCATGGTTGAACGGGAGATTGATGTGACTTTCTATTTTATGCATTGGGCCTTATTTATATTTTTCTTTAACCATTACCTATATCTTGTTCTATTTAACCTCCTCATTGGTCGTGATGGTTCTCATTTTCTCTCAAATTATATGCAGCTCCGCGAGTATATTGATGATACAGAGGACTACATAAACATTCAAGTAACTTGAAAAACAACACTTTTATCCTCATGAATTAAGGATTACTGATATTTTCTCTAACTATCCATTGTTGTTTCTATTTTGCAGCTTGATAACCATCGAAATCAACTTATTCAGGTGATTTCTTAATTTCCTCCCCCAAAACTTGTTAGCAGTTAGAGTTGAACGACACAGTTTAACTGCAAATTTAATCATCAAGGCAACCTTGATATAGTTGTTTACAATTAGTAGTCATTATGTTTTTTGGGGAATAAAAAGGAGAGGAAAATATAATTGAATGTAAATGTCTTTAAAATGAACTAAAATAAAGCAAGGATCAACTTGCTCTAATACAAAATATGATGTAGGAAAAAAACTAAGGATCATAAATTTATGGAGTTGGTAAGGGAATGAGTTGTCCTACAAATACTAGGGTTAAGATCTTTCCTAAAAAACCATACTTAAAATAAATTATAGAAATTAGTTTCTTAGTTGATTTAAGAGATGGTAAGGAGGAAGGTCTGAGTTGTACTTTAGATTTATCATAAACTTTTCAAAGCTAAAAGATTAGTGCAGAATAAATAAAAAACAAGTGAAATGATCACAATGTGACCAAATTACACAAAATAAGCTAAAATAGATACACTATGATGTAGATGAATGCCCTAAAGCCAATGTAAGCACTTATAGGACACTTTAATGTATATGAAAGTCTTAATATAGATATTTGATAAAGAGAAAACCATGTAAAACGGTAGTGTAATGAGAATACTAGAAAACTAGAAGAATTAAGTCACAAGTAGCTGGTCCTTCACTGTGACTTCAATCTTCCGGGCCTTGGCAAATCCTTCAGGGCATGGTACACACACTCATTAGTCCCCTTCAGAAAGAGCTCACAAAAAAGGGAAAAACAAAGCAATCTTTCATTCGAATTTCATGATCAAAAAACAAGTAAGGGAGATTATAGTCTCCATGACACCAATTACCATCCAATGTAAATCAATGCAAAGTAAACCACGGGATGGTCAGCCATGATAAAAGAGGTGGAAAATGTAAATGAGTGAATGGAGAGGATCCAAGAAAAGGAGCAATGGAAACCAACTTCCAAAAGAGAAGAAATAAATAAGATGGAGAGCAATACCACCGGACATAATGAGGGAGGTGGAGGAATTAATTTAAAATTGAATTGAATTGAATTCAAAAATAAAGGGAAAGCAGAGTGGTTGGCCAAGGTGTATATACATGCATGAAACAAGTTGGAAGCATAATAACCCATTATGCACAAATCCAACATGACTCAATAACACCATTAAGACTTAAATACAAGTAAATACAATGAACTGTCTCACCACTCCCTGCATAGAAATGACTCACAGTTGGAACACAATGGGTCAAATTATAAGAGATCTTAACTAGTATCAATAGACACTGCAAGGCCAAACACAAAGATGGCTCTGATCAAGATGCTTCGCATCAAAAGTCAGTGAACCCTTGTTGATGTTGCTATTCAAGGCTGTAATCCTACAACCACCTTCTCCAGGGAGAAATCAAATAGAGATTTGCTTTTCCAAATGCTCACGAAACCCTAATCCTATAAGTTATGTCTTGGAAGCTTCCAAATTACGGTTTGAACTACCCTAGATGAGACTCTTTATATAGCCGCTGGCCTACCTTGCACACAAACCAAGGAGATAAAATCTATGCATATCAAAGACGTGGTGGCAATCTCAATCGTCCAATTTGATTTGATCATATTGAAAGCTCTTGGGAATCTTCAATAATATTCTGTCGCACTTACAATATTAGTGAGGTTAGAGAGTTTGGTGATGCACAATTCTGTCTCTCAAGATTTATTTCTTTGCCAGATTTGAATGCATTTGGTCACTCACTTTATTTTTAATTTAAATGCAACTTGACCTCGAGGAAATATTTAAATTTTGAAAATGATAATGATAATCTCCAAGAAAATTACGTATCTACTCAAAGGTTGTCCGCTATCCTTCCACATGGAAAAATTTTCTAACCTACAAATCTTTGTGGTCCTATGACTGGCTAATGTGACCCGCCATATGTGATTGAAAATGAGTTTCAAAGATATGGGGTCCATTCCCTGGTTGAGAGTTTGGAAGTTGTCTATATTCTGAGTTTAAATTCCATCGCCTTTAAAATTGTGTGGCGAGATCGTGCGTGCAGCTCGCTGGTTGATCGAAGCTTTTCCTCCCATGCGACTCATGCTCGAATCCCCTAACTATCCCAAAAAAAATTGTGTGACACTCAGCACTCTCCAAAAAAAAAAAAATTCTAAGGCATAACATTTAAAAGCTACATTTCATCAATGACAAATCCTTGCGATTTCATGATTGTGAAGCAACTGCTAGAAAAGTGTGTTCTTATGTGATTTAGGCTTCGTTTGGGACATTTTTCTTATTGATTCTTAAAGCGGCTTTCTAGTACAAAATTTTTAATTTTTATACTAGAAAGCAGCTTTAAGAAACAGGAAGAAAGTCGTCCCAAACAAAGCCTTATTTGGCATTTCTTCCGTTCCCTAAATATCTTGTTCCGTTTGAATGTTATTGCTTAAATCCTTTTAATTTCCTTGAACTTATTTGATGTTTTTTGTTTGATAACGTGACAGTTAGAGCTTTTTCTTAGCTCCGCAACAGTTTCTCTTTCCATCTATTCATTAGTTGCTGGAATTTTTGGGATGAATATTCCATATTCATGGAATGAAAACCATGGATATGTCTTCAGACTGGTAAGTGTCCTTTGTTCTACTGATCATGGATTTATTTGATACGACTGTGTTGATGTGCTTTCTTGCTTTTGTTTTGTTGTATGAAATAAATTCAACGTAAATCTATATGATGATGAAGATATAGTTATCTTTTAAGAACATTTCTCATGTTAATCAATTTTGTTTTTCAAAAAGTTGTGAAATTTGGAACATAATGATTGGCATAGTTTTTTTTTGCCTGCTTATGCTTATATGGCAAAAGCTGTTTAGGATGTTTTGTCTAATAGCTGTGAGAAAAAGAAGAAATTATTCTATGCGGACACGGGATGCAGCTCTACGTCTATAAAGGCGAATCAGGTGCAACCACATCAATGGTATCGAGCTGTGGTACCGAGCGAAGGGATGAGGTGGCGCATTCTGATTGGTCTGCGGACGGCGTTCGGCATCCGCACAGAATAATTTTTCGAGAAAGACACAATGAAAGATAAAAAAAAAACAATCTTTTAGAAATGTGATTAATGTAGTTTCCCTTCAAAGCTTTTTTATGGATGCTAACTTTAAATTAGCAAATTAATGCATAAATTTTTAATTAATTATATACTAATTAAGATTATGATATTATATCATCATTAGTTTAAATTCATAAAAAATTTTAAAATTATAGTCAGCAAAGGTTTCATTTGAGATGATTTTATTATTGCTACTTAAAACATCTTTTTAATAAAAAATTAAAAATTTTATACTAAAAAGTTGTTTTAAGAAGCAGTAAGAAAGTCGTCTTGCAACAATGTCACACTGTGCCTAATATTGCACATTTCTATTTCCAATCTTTTTTACCCATCAAACTTTTTTACTTTTGTCTGGCCCGCAGGTGGTGATCTTATCAGGTATAGCATCTGCTTTGCTTTTTGTTGGGATCATTGTATATGCTCGTCAGAAAGGTCTTGTTGGTTCTTGATTTCTACCCATTATGGAAATAGTCGCAGGCAATTGGATTAATACATTCATACGCTGCTTATACCATTTCAGTTTCATCCTTACCTGCTTAATTAAGAATTGAGATACAATATTAGCACATTACCATTGTTGTTGTTGTATTAATGATTCATCCTTCTCTCCCACCTCAGGAGTTTAGGAGCAAAATACCTTATTATTAGTCCAAGATAAAAGAAGAATAGAGCATTCCTTTTGTAATGTAATAATGTAATCAATCTATGCTCAGACATGGAGATTTTTTGTATCTTGAAAATTTAGGTTTTGTTTGTGATGGCTTTCTTACTCCTTTTTAAAGTAAATTTTTAGTAAAAAATTTGTAATTTTTGCATTAGAAATTTATTTTAAGCAACTGTAAGGAAACAGTACCAAATGAAAGTTTTAATAATAGCTCAATATGGAATATGGAAAAATTATTCTATGCGGACGTCAGACATCGTCTGGAGATCAAGCAGAACGCTCCATTTTATTTTATTGCTTGGTATCAGGTGATGTGGCATGTTCAGGTTGGGTCTTCGGACTGTCAATATGTGCAACTATACTGGTTGAAAATTTTACTTGCATTTCATCATGTTTTTGTTTAGTAGTACTATGCTGTTCTTATGGGGCAAAATTAATTTTTGGCTTAGTGTTTGGATTTGAGTTGATAAGCATACAATTATTCTTCTCTTGATTGAGTAGCAGTTTATCAACAACAAAAATTAGAATTTAAATTTCACACATTCTATTTAGTAGTACATTCGATGAAGGTATTCTTAAGATCAATATTTGGGAAGTTATTATTATTTAGGTAATTAGTAGTTAGTCTTTGCTATTGATTATCTCCTCAGACTCCTCTTTAGCAGGAGAGTATATTAGCAAATTTTTATTTTTATTTAAATATTGACCACAGTGAAGTAGCCAGCTTCATTGTATGTGTCATAAACCTTCTTTAGATTAAGTTAATGAGTCGAGGCCTCAGAAATTTTTTTTTTATTATACCTTCAACTCTGCGATTAAAGCAATATAATGCTTCTTCATTAAAATAATAAGTTTTAACATTCCTATTCATAATAAAGCAAATAAATTGAATGTAAGTAAGCAAATAAATTGAATGTAAGTTCATGCAATGTAAATGTTTGAACAATATATTATGAGTGGTAGCAAGATTCAATTCTCTTGTTCAACATAGGCTCCATTTTAGATGGTTTCTTACTAATTTTTTAAGTAAATTTTTAGTGAAAATATTTTTTGTTTCAAAAATTAATAAGAAAGCAATCTCAAATGAAAATGAAATTATAATTTGAACTCAGTTAAAAAGTTAATATTTGATACCTAAGTTCAAAAGAGAAGTTCAGACTAGTTTGAGCTTACAATGTTGTTTGAGGTAAGATTAAATTGGATTTCAAACTTCTACTTCAATGACCATTTTTAAACCCCATGTTCAAAATTGAAGTTTGAATTTGATTTGAACCAAAAAAATAAGAGGGTTACAACTTAAGTTGTGAGTTCAAAGGGGGTTTAGATTAGGCTCAAGTCTCATATTGTTAGTTTGAACTTTGTTTAAATCTTATAATATGTATCAAATTTTGTGAACTTTGTTTCACATAAAGAACTCTAACTTAGTGTTCAAATTATTATTTGAATCTAAGATGCAACCACTACTTTTGCTTTGATAAGAGATGATAATATGAGAATCATGATGTTGTAAGGAATGGTGAATTATTATTTAAAGTTTGCTTCACACATATAACTCCATGTGATTCATTGATTGGGTGTTATAAGAAGCTGAAGATTGATTGGAAGTTATAAGGAGTCAGATCTATTGATTTATGTGATTTAATGGGAGTTATAAAGAATAAATTGATTTGGAGTTATAAGAGATAATTAATTGAGAGTTATAAGTGCATGAGCAAGCTATTCTTAAGATACACTCATTGAATATCTAAATACTGATACTGACACTGTTATGAATATTATATTGATATTGTGACTGACACCAATATTGGTTTATGTCATCAACACTATTTAGCATTATTGATCATGATACTAATATTGTTATTGGAATTAATATTATTGACTATTACTAATATTATGATTGATGATGTAATGGATTGAAATGTGATGAATTATAGAATGATAAATTGATACTGATAATCAGTAAGACATTGATGCATATATTTTTGTATATGATTTATAACATGTTCTCTTTTATCTTGCAATGATTTCAGTTATAAGATTTTTATTACTTGTTGGGTTATGAACTCATTACATGGTTTTATATATTTTCAGGAAAAGTAGGAATCATATGATATAAGGTTTTGTACAAGATAAAAATGTCATTATGTTTCTTTCGGATGTTTATTGGTAAGCCTTAATTAAATGATTAAAATGAAAGACAAATATAATTCTTCTAATATAAATCCTGGAGTGTAACAACAACCTCGTGTCCAGTGTCTCGCAAGACATGCACCCGCGCTCGTCAGCCTCGATCAAAAGGCCATACCCTCGCCTACGCTCATGAGCCCTGCTCGGACCCGCCACTACTCTTACACGCCTTGCCGCACTGGACCCGCTCCTACGTGCCTTACAGTCCGAACCTGTGCATGCATGCCTTACCGTCGGGACACGGACCTGCATGCCTTGCTAGTGCCGCACCCATTATCTTGCGCCCTACCTCAGCCGCGCTGCTCTCCAGTATCACTCAATTAGTCGCCTGCACTGCTCAGATCAACTAAATGTGGGTTGGTAAGTCGAGTCAACCCGACAACTCAGTGGGTCGGGTCGGGTCCGAATTAAAATTTCTGACCCATTTAGAATTCTTAATGAAAATAAATTATGCGATGAATAAAGCTTAAACAATCAAAATTTAGGATTCAAAGTTCAAAGACCACCGGTTAAACAATAACTTTCTTTGTGTGCATATTCATACAAATAATAATTCAATGAACACCAAAATAAAAGATTAGTGAAAATTTTGAAACCAAAGAAAACTCAAAATTTAATAAAGTCACACCACAATAAAAGTAGAAGAAAAAAATTCTATAAAATAATAAAAAATAAACATTACATCAGTACAAGAAGAATGCTTCCCTCGTAAATAAATAATCCAACTTATAACACAATTCAAAAGAAGGGTGCATTTAGGAAAACAGTGGGCTTTGAAAATTTGCACCTCGGCCTCTCTGCGGCCCCTTTCTCTTTTATTTATTGGGTCGTCGAGGTGAGTTTTAACAAGTATGTTCATAAGAAAATTTTCAAAAAGAAAATGCCCAAAGATTTCGCCCTTATTTTTGCAAGAACTTTATGATATGAGTTCAAGTTTCCCATAAGCGCAAGCCCCTATAGTTGGGGGATGATGATAGACCTGACGAGCGAGAACTTTCAAAAAGACAATGCCCAAAGATTACCCCTCCCAATAACGAGCGAGAACTTTCGATTAAGGTTAGTCGTCAAATAGATACATAATATCCATGGTGTAGTAGCAACATGATTGTGTATTTGGGAATTTGACATTTAAAATTAGAAATTGACCACATTGCATTTAAATAGGATGGTTGGGGGATGATGATAGACCTGAGCAAGATCCTATGGTTCAATAGTCCCGGGTCATCATGGTACCTTGTCCACTTAGTCAGAGGATGTAGTCGACCCAACCTAACAGAAGGATACTTATCGACAACATTGGGTTGTTTCGTCCAAGGGTACCTTATAGACATGAGTTGAATATTTATCTAAGAGGATAAATTTGAGTCCACCTTAGCTGATAGAGGGCTTTAAGATCCTATTGATTCATTACTCAAGAATTTAATGTTGTTGGGGAACATACGGGCTCTGACCATGACCGTAATTTAATGGTGTTATTTGGCAGCAAAACCACCCGGTCAAAGGATCCCGATCATTACCGTTTACATGTGGTGCCATTTGATGGCAAAATTACCAACTAAAGGATACATGTCACGTCCTTACTAGCAAGAGACGGATTAAAATGATGTATAATGATATTCTCGACCAGACATTTACTCTTTGTAAGCTAAAGTGAATTTCAAATTTGTCCATCCTGGCAAATTATTGCGGAGGGTGAATAAATTTTTCTTTAAGCAATTAGGTGTTTTATTTCAATTTTAAATATTTTAGATTTTGATAATTTTTAGTATTTTGGGATTTTCATGAGAATTTGAGAGTCATTTTAAATGTTTTTGGTCCCCTCTAATTGATATTTTATATCAACACAATCATCATCAGGGTGTACTTATGAGCAATTTCATTTTATTGATTAAACAATGTAGATTATGTCTACTTGTCGACATAGGGTCAAATTCATCATCTGCATCAGCGTTTTGCTTTTATTAGCAAATTTTCTTGTTATGAACATTAAAGGCCTAATATGAACGTATAAAATAAATATCTCGATCAGCATCACAATCATACATTTGTTTAATAGTTCGAGCCGTGTCAACTCCTATCTATTCACATAAAATGATCGGGCTCAAACTTAAATTCATTTTTTAACCTGCACAGCATCCATAAACGTCATGTGTGTGCATACATCACGCTTATCGGGGTCCATGTTGGTGTATGATTTTGAATGCATTTTGAAAGATATGTTTTTGTAGTAGTTGTATGTATGCAGTGCAGCAGATTTATGCAACATATTTGCATGTATGATACATTTTGCATTTGCACATTGTTTAATCATGTTTGCCATGATGTTTTGTATATTGCACAGTGACTTGATACAGTGGCATATGACATGCATGTATGATGTACTTATGCATCACCTGTTTGCTTACATAATATATTTGCGCATCGACTTTTTTTTTTTTTTTTTTGTGCAGTACATGAAGCATATGCATGCCGATGTAGCATGCTGCTACTACGTTGTGTATTTTGCATGTTGGATAATATGCATGTGTGAGATATTTTGTGTTTTTTCACGTGCATGCGCATGATGTGAATGCATAAGTGTGCATTTTAATACATGGGGGTGTCAATGTGTCATGTAATATTCAACTATAACTAGTCTTGTAGACGGTGATCATTTAAAATATGTGCAAGTTTTGTATATAAGGGCCTGTAAACACCTTTTATCTGCTTGTACGAGCGTTGTGGATCCCATAGCATGGTGTAGCGTATGATATATATGTATAATATGTCAATACATTGCCTGCTTTCTTACAAAATGTATTAGCGTCATAATTCAGTGTTTGCATGTATTGTCTGATGTTTTTGCATGTTAGTGTTGGTTACACAATGCATTAGCATGACGATTCAATACTTGCATGTAGTGCCTAATGTGTTTGCATGTTAGCATAGCACACTGCTGCTGCGCATCATATTTTATATGTTGAATAGCATGCTTGTATAATGCAATTCCTATGTTGCAACATGTATATGCATTTTGTATGTTAATGCAATATGTCGCCACAGCGTGTTGTTGCATATTGAATGATGTGCTTGCATAATGTACCATGTGTATTGCAATGTTTATGATCTACATGTCTTCCAGAGCTTTGCAAAATGCATATGCATGTTCTGAATGTGTCAATGCGCACTTCAATGCATGGAAGTGTTTTTACAACATTCAATTATAGCCAGCTGTGCAAATGACCCTTGCTAAGAAGTATGCCAGATTTAATTCTAGAATATGTAAATGCCTTATGTCCGCTTATGTGAGTGTTGCGGATCTGGTGGCATGGAAACTAGATCGGTCTAGTGAGGTTGGAAGTTGGGATAGAGGTCGGATAAGAGGCGGCTCTAGAGTTTGGAGCTAAGAGTTCGATAGAGAGATCGAGCAGGGTTTGGCAGCCTCTAGTTCAGGAAGGATGCTCGTGTGTGTGAGGAAGAAGATGAATCGAACGAGAGGCGAGCTGCTCGGGCTTTAATACCGTGAATTGCATTGTACTATGGGCAAGCTCCAGAATGCATGGGAAGCGATGTGAATAGCGACGAACAACAAGTATGCGGGATTTGCGAAGGGTTTTTTCGGGCCTCATATGGAGGTCAACAATAACTTTCTTACTAGTTTGTTTTTTAGCCACAACAATAGTTTCTATTTGACCATTGCTTTTTCTTTGCTTCCCAAAATTTCTTTCTCCATAGCAGGTTTAGACCTAGCTTTACAAAAAATTACCGCTATCCCAAACGGACCCAAAATCAACATCCAACATTCATACAAATGTGAAAGAAATTAAACATTTTTTGAAAAGAACAGTCCCCCTAAATTCCTCAAATATATCCCTTTTATAATTACAAAAAAAAACCTAACATGGTTGGAATTTGGATGCTGTGGAATTCAAAGAACAGCGGAAGGGAACAAGATGTGAACAAAAAAAAAATCATGTGAAATATCAATAACTGGGAATCTGCAAAGCAAAAAAACACATGAACCAACATACCAAACAGCCAACTGAACCAGAGAAAAGAATTCCAGAAATTTGTATCAAACAAGATAAACTGAACTGGGATAGGGAAATATTAGAAAACACATTCAATTCTTACAGAGGATATTAGACAAATAAAACTAAGATAACATATCATAAAAATAAAAATTGTTCTTAGTTTACTAATTTGCTCTTCTTAATACATAATTTGCTCTTCTTAATACATTAAGAATTGCACCTTTAATGATTGTAAGACCCTCAAAGGTGAACATATATCTATTACAGATGAGATGGGCAACAATGCATTCCCTTGGCCACGCATTTTTATGAAAAAAAAGGAGAAAAAATTGTATCAAGAGCTCATCATATCAAAATGCCTCAGAAGTGCAAAGCTTATGTAACTTCAAAGTGTTAGACCGGTCCATTGTACTGGTCTAGCAGGTCCTGTGTGGACCGGATCACGCAAAACAGAGGTGGACATTTTCCACCTCTCTATGCTGTCTACCGAACCGCCAGATCCCATGGAGTGGTTTATGAAAGATTTTTGAGGGATTTGGGAGGGAATATTGAATGTAGGGATTGTTTAGAGATTTCATTTTGGATTGTATGTATTAAATAGTTTATTTTCCTAGGGTTAGCGCATCTTGAATTTGGCTGAATTTTGAGATTTGTTAGGTTTAGGTTTCCATTGAGCTCTAGCAGCATCTGGAGAATCGGGAGAGATTGATCCTCCCTTGAATTTGAGGATCACTTGTATCTTGTTTGTTTTCTTCCGTTAGTTTATTTTTCTCAATAAAGTGGGCGGATTTTCTTTGATTTTTCCTCTACTTGTTGAGTATCCTCATTGATTTTGTCAAGATCGTTAAGTTTCACTTGAGATCTTCAAGTGTTTCCTATCACAAAGTTTAGTGACAAGTATCATTTCAAACCATATATATCATCCATTTAATATGAGCAAAACTTACAATCAAGCAACCAATTCACCAAAACAAAAAAGTTTTCCAATGATTTGAAACTGAAAGAAGCCGTTATATTCTACTTTATAAAAAGAAAACTAAATTATATTACATCTTACAAGGTTTTTGTCAAGTTAAATGTTTTCAATTTGATATTATTCATTAAAAACTCCTATCATGTTCTTTGTCGCCCCTTCCAAGTAGAAGCACCAACACCCTCTGAAGCATCAGGTGAATCACTGCCAGGATCTCTAAAAATTTCTATTGCATTCTCATCATCACTTCCACCATCAAATCTATCAGTTTTGTCAGAGGATTCATCGTCCTCGGGTGCTTTACCATTTATCTTTGATAGACGGTCTCTGAGCTCTCTTAACTTGGCTTTCTTGGAATTCAAGACATCAACAAACTAAAAACAAAGAATCAAACTTAAGTAGATAAGTTGTTAAGGAACAGGATAAACACCTCAAACTAACAATGAGTTTGAGATTGACGCCACAAACAAAATCACATTTATAAGAAGAACAATTCAATCCAAGAAAATATATGCCAGTACTAAGAAGTGAAAATAAGATTTTATAGGTTGGGAAGCTATTTTAAAGAGAGTTTTGTATTGCAGGATTTGTTTTCTCGATCGGTAATGCGCTGCACCCACGGCCTTTGCGCTACCTCTGCCATCCTTGTAACCACACCCTCCATTTAGGGGTGTAAGTGAGCAAAGCCGGCTAGCGAGCCGACTCGAGCTCAACTCGTTTATGGGCTCGTGAGCCGAGCTTATCGAGATCACGAGTCGAGCTCGAGTTCGAGCTAGTTTAGTAAACAAGCTCGAGTTCGAGCTTGATCCGGTTTGGCTCGTGAGCTCACGAGCCGGATCGAATAAATGTTAATATTTTTGAAATAATTTTATTTTATTTATTAAATTTAAATATTTAAAAAACTAATAAAAATAACATAAATTTTATTTAAATGTTAATTATTTCATATTTTTTGTCTAAAGTTTGACTTAGTTCTAAAAATCCCGCCTAAATTTAAAAATTCCCGCTCATAGCTTGCGAGCCGGCTCGAGCTCGTTTACAGTGAGACGAGCTCAAGTTCGAGCTCGCCTGTCAAGCTCGAGCTTGAGTTCGAGCTTGCTTTCCAACTAATGAGCTGAGCTCGATAAGGCCTAAACTCGACTCGACTTGACTCATTTACACCCCTACCTCCACTTCATGTAATGCCTTGGGAAGCTATATTTTAAAAGAATTTTTTGTTTAAACCATTAAAATGATTAAACATAAAGGCCATGAAAAGAAAATCCCCTCTAGGGCCATCTCTTGACATGAATCAAGATCACATAGAAACACAAGTCCACTAGAATCTTTCTACAAATCATCGATTATCTCATTAAAATCAAAACTTACTATACCAAAAATTATCATTATGATTGCTAAAAAATGCTTTGAACTTCTAAATGTCCAAAACAAAAATCCATAAGCATGGAATGTAAACTCTAGTGCCTCTGATCATATCACAGAGAATGCCTCCTTATATCAAATCCTTTATCCGTGTTTGAAGGACCATACAGTCTGAATTATCAACAGTTCAACATCACATGTAATTGTCAACTGGATTATTAATGTCACAAACTTTCTAGTTCTTAATTTAATTTTCTTGATTCTTAATCTTTCTTGCAACTTATAATAAATTAATAAAATTAAAAGAGATATGGACTGTACAACTTATTTTTTTTCATATTCATTGTGTAATTCAAGATAGGAACTTCAAAAGTATAACTGGTAAGAAAAAAAATGATTACCTCTGCTTCCTAAATTATGAAGCAAATCCGAAAAGGTAAAAGAAAGATACTGACCTTCGAATGAAAGCATGATCATGTTATGACACTCACATTAATCATTTAAAATTCATGTAACTAATGGTATGATACTTTCGCATTAATCATTCAAATTTCTTGTAACTAAAATTATTCCCCTCTCTCTCCTAAAACCTTTCAATGTAAAACTCGTCAATTATTTAACACTCCAACTTAATAACTTAGTCATTCATACAAAGCTTCACAATCTTTTGTAAATATCCCTAGTAATATTTGAGACCCATTGTTGACTGTAACTACTCCCAGCCAGCTTCGGTTCAGACAGAAACCACCCACGATCGAACACAACCGCTCATTCCACGATCGAACACAACTGCTCAAACCGTCTCCCTCTCACGATACAAAAAAATGAACTCCTCTCATTCGGTACTCTCACGCTCACAGAATCAGAAGAAAATCGCAAGCAAGGCAAGGGAGAAAGTCCAGAAACTTACCTTTTGGTCTCACGATCTCCGGCACTCGACATCGACTCCGGTAAACAACTCCAACCACAGTCACCTCTGACCTTGCCTCCGTCGACCTCCAGTCCCTTTACAACTCTCAAGCCGACTTCCAACTGACCCCGACCTCCTGCTCCGACACCTCCGGTCAGACTTCCGCCAGGATCCCGCCGCCGACCATCCGACGCTGCGTCCGACCTTCAACGCTTGAAGCCGTCCAACCTCCGACTGACCCCGACCTCCTGCTTCCGTCGATCTCGTCGCCGTGCCCTGAGTCGACACCGATCACGCCGCCGACGAGCCCATCCAACGGACTTGAAAGGGCAAAAGCCCTCCTTACCTCCCGGCGCTGGGGAGGTGACGCCGGAAGGCTGCCGAAATTTTCTGAAAAATTTGGGACTTAGCCAAATCTTTGAAAAATTAGAGAAATATGGATTGATTAAATTTGAAATTAATTAATTAAATAAATTATAATTAAATTTTAATTATAATTTATTTAAATAATTAAATACAATCAACTAGCAACAAGCGATCGTCTCAATCAGCAATCAACTACGATCTCCATCCAAACAGTGACAACCGTTCGATTTGCAAACAACGATCATCAAAGCTTCTGAAGACTTAATCTCCTCGCCGTCGATTTGATCCGGTCGAGTCGAGCCACTCTCTTACCTCCCGGCGTCGGGGAGGGGACGCCGGAAGGCTGCCGGATTTTCAATGAACAAAAGATCCCTCAAATTATTTTTAAATAAAGTTTTGATATATTTACATAATTTATATTTAAATTGATTAATAAATCAAAACATTCTTTTATTGCCCATTGAATATATATTACAACACAATATTCAATCCAAATGAGATAAAACTTATAGAGCAAAATGCTAGAGTGGATAGAGAAGAGGGAATGGAGAGGAGAAGAGACAGCCGTGTGAATGAGAAAAGTAAAATCATATTATTACCGAATGTTACAGGATATATTTATAATACAGTTTCAGGTACAAGACGTAAATATAGCTGGATTAGTTTAGTCTAAAAGGTATCTGCTCACATCCTCCCGCAAATTAATCACCCGGTTCACGGATGGTTAATTTGGAGCGAAGATATTGGTACCGAGTTATGGAAAAAGGTTTTGTGAAGATGTCCGCGATTTGTTCTTGAGTTGGAATATGCTTAAGTAGAATGTTGCCATCGGTAATGTGCTGTCGAATAAACTGGTAGTCTATTTCGATGTGTTTCATTCTGGCATGAAAGACGGAGTTCTTTGCCAGTGTGATGGCGGAGATGTTGTCACAGTGAATGATGGTTGGTGCGGACTGAGGAAAATGAAGCTCGGCGGACAAGCGACGAAGCCAGATAGTTTCGGAAGTTGCAGCAGACAATGCCCGATATTCCGCCTCAGTTGAAGATTTAGCTACCGTTACCTGTTTTTTGACGGACCAGGAGATTAAGTTAGGTCCCATGAAAGTGCAGTGACCGGTAATGGATTTCCGGTCTTGTGAGTCGGAAGCCCAGTCTGAGTCAGTGTAGGTGCGAAGTTGATGATCTCCGGGCGTAATTGGTAGGCCAAGGTGTTTGGTTCCTTTGACATACCGAAGTATCCTCTTGAGATTCTTGAAATCTTGATCGGTGGGTTTGTGCATGTGCTGACAAGCTTGGTTAGTGGCGAAGGCAATGTCCGGGCGAGTAATCGTAAGGTACTGAAGAGATCCGGCGAGGCGTCGGTATAGAGATGGATCGTGGTAGGGAGGAGAGTTCGGTTGTCTGGTTATATTTGCTGGAGCTAATGGGGTCGGAGAGTCTTTGCATTGATCAAAGCCGGCTTCGTGTATGAGTTTGGTTGCGTAGTGAGCTTGGCTGAGGAAATAGCCATCCGATGTTTGCTGGACTTGGATTCCAAGAAACAGTGAGATATTCCCTAACTGTTTTAGAGCGAATTCTACATGCAGTTCCCGGAGAAGATGCCGAATGCAGGCCTGATTGTTTCCTGTTACCAAGATGTCATCGACATAGATTAAAATAAACATGTGAATATTATTTTTGGAGTATAGAAGAAGAGATGAATCGGAGTGACTAAACCCGAATTCGCGTTGAACGAGGAAGTTTGTGAATTTCTGGAACCATTGTCGCGGTGCCTGTTTTAATCCGTAGAGAGATTTATTCAGTTTGCAGACATGATGTGGATAGCGGGAATCTTCGAAACCTTGCGGTTGTCTCATGTAAATATCGTCGGGTAGATCGCCATGAAGGAACGCGTTTGTGATGTCTAGTTGAAGAATGTTCCATCTCCGGTTTACCGCTATGGTTAGAAGCATGCGTATTGTTGTCATCTTTGCTACCGGACTAAAGGTCTCCGTGTAATTTTCCCCGAACCGTTGATCGTAGCCGAGAGCCACTAAACGAGCTTTGTAACGATCAATTTGCCCGGATGGTAGATGTTTGATCTTGTATGTCCATTTACACCCAAGTGTGCGTTTGTTCGGAGGAAGAGGAACCAGGGTCCAGGTGTTTTGCTGAATGAGAGCGTTAAACTCTGTTCGCATGGCCTCATTCCAATGGTCATGTTTGGAAGCCTGTTTGTATGTAGTTGGAGTAGTCTGTTTGTTGGACTGACTGAGCATGGTGAAAATCTGCTTTGGTTTGTAGATCCCCGACTTGGATCTGGTTTGCATATGATGAATACGCGGTGGGACAGCAGCAGGGCTATGAGTGCGAGGAGGTGAGGGAGGAAGGGGAGCCGGAATATCAGTGGCAGTGTGCGTGGTAAGAGGACAAGAGTTACTGGTGTGAGTGTTTGTGGTAGTAGTCGGAGAGGTTGGTAATGTGGAAGTAGGAACTAATATTAAAGGATTGGAGGAAGATGGCGTGGGTTGAGTCAAGGTGGTGTTAGGTGGCGTAGTGTGGGAGAATGGAAAGATTTGTTCTTGAAAAACCACATGTCGAGAGACGTGTAGTTTATGAGTTTGAAGGTTGTAACATTTATAACCCTTATGACGAGACGAGTAACCGATGAAAGCGCAAGGTTGAGAACGAGGAGTGAATTTGGTTGCTGTGTAAGGTTGGAGCCATGGATAGCAAAGGCATCCAAACGTGCGAAGG